TATAAACGCTCAGTTGCCGAACTAAATTCCCGATAAAGTCACGTTCGACCGAAACGGGTCACCCGGTGTAACCCCATCGGTGTCTGTATTATTTGTGATATTGTGGAAAATCCGTGCAAAATACTCCAAAATGCATGCATCGACCTCGATAAAGAATAAGTTAAAAATCGTAAAAAAAAAAAAAGAAGAAAAACTTCCCAACCGCGATCCTTAAAGTACGTCGATCGGCGAAAAATAGCGAAGCGTTTTGCGTCAGATGGAAATGTAAGTCTCGAAGGAACGAGATCGAGTACATCATATGCACATTTCTCTCTAACCTATTACCGCAAAAATCAGGCGTGAAACGGGACGCGCGTCGCCACTCCACTCGATTTATCGCTTCGCATGGATATTGACTTACAAATTTTTCACATATGTCACGTAACGCTATTCGGATTAAAGGTTGGTCGAGCAACGAGGAGACACGAGGACTACGAAATTTTACACGGTTCTCCTTACGCCGAATCCATATATTGCAACTGTCGAATAGATCGTCAATAGTTCACTCGCATTTTTTTTTGGCACAGTGAATACACGCTAATAATTCCTCAATATTTACAATTTGCCTTTATAAATATCGATTAACAAGATATTCTTTAATATAATTTTTGTGCGTTGTTTATATTTTTTTTTTTTTGGTATATTTTCCACCTATTGTATTTTTTTACAATTTTTTTATATATTTATTATTTTTATGTGCAATCACTTTTGCAATTATTTTATAAATAGTAACAAACAGTTGCAAAGTATACGCAAATATTCTGAAAATCGATGTATTTTATCGAATTCAATTGCGGAAATTGACAAGCTGTTACTGATAAAAATGAAAAAAGCTTAAATTTCAATAATAACGTTTGAAAACGTTTTGCTTTTTAAATAAAATAATTTTTTATTGTTAAACCATAGGGCAACTTTGGCACATTTTTGGTCACTATTAGTTTGTTGCCAAAATAGCGTTCTCGTTCAATATTTATTGTGACCTAACAGTGGAAAATGATGCTGCATTTGTCGACCATCTGTTCGCAGATTGCTCGCGAACTTTAAGTACAGAATGTGGTTCGCGATCAATTCGTCAGCGGTCTGTGACCTGCTGTGCCAAGTTTTGAGTTATATCTCTGTTTAATGTAAAATTCGTGCAATGTATTATTCACGGATCAAACTACATTTTATCCACAGATATATGTATATGTATTAATTTATGATCTATACTATTTTAAAATGTGTGAATTATATATTTTGCCAAGAAGCAATTGACTCCAAATTTAACGAGAAATAACGCCACCGTCCGTTGAGTGCGAGTAGTGCCGCGTCTCTCATTGAAGAAATATATCAAAAATCATCCATAGCGCATTAAATTGATTCACGCGGACGGTCCCGAGCACGTTACATATTTATTGAGCTATGCAATTCACCCGCGATTAACGCAACGCCGTCCATTCGCGCGTAGGTCGATTATCAGTTATTATTAATGGTTATCAATTTGTCAGAGGCACGAACGTATATGAATACGCGGTCGACAGTCGATATACACAGAATAACAAAGCGCACGATAACGTTTAACGCTGCAGATGTAACGGACTAAATTATAGATGTGCTCATAAGTCAAGTGCGAATAAGGCATTTATCGATATTTCTATCGAATTTCACGACGCGGTAATTAATTGACGATAAGAGTTGCGAAACTAATAAAGCATTGCCGTCTACTCTACGAGAAGATACGAGAAGAATGAAGACAAATCGTCGCGCTCGTATGACTGGACGCCGACTTACAGCGGGGTCCTAACGAATATGACGTAAGTAAAGAATGACGGGCGTTAAATCATCACTTCCGAGAGAGCGGCTTAGTCGAGAGCGCAAACTGCATAGCGGCTTCGAAGAACGGAGCAGGTGGTGTGATGGTGGTGGTAGTGGTGGTGGTGGTGGTGGTAGTGGTATACTTGTACAATTCATGCATCCTGGCGCAGAGTTGACGGTGAAATTTCAGGGGAACGAACGCGTTCGCGCCGGGGCCACCACGTGCTGTCGGCCCGTTCGATACGTCGATGTTATGCAGGTATGCGACTGTGCAACGGATGCGCGAGGTAGCCAGAGAATTCGTTGGTGCAGAGCGCTCGATGGTCGTCACTCGGTGGACCGAGTGCGGCGAATGCATGCAGATACGCGTGGGGGAAGAGAGAACGCGGTGAAGAAAGCGAGAGGGATGGTCTTCGCTGCTCGACGAAACGGGGCTGGGTGTGAAAATACCATTGCATGTATAGTCCGTGCGCGCACGGTAAATGCTTTGAATATAACGCTGTAGATAATGAGGATGTATTCGACGCTTGCTTCTCTTTCTCTCTCTTATTTCTCTTGCCCCCCCCTCCTTCTTTTTTCTCTCTCACTCACCCACTTCGTTAATTCTCCCTAATTGCAAAAATTGCATTTGGCCATGCTACGCCAAAGTGAATTCGTACAACGAGCTGTATTTAAAAAAATCTGACGTGCTCGTAGCGGCATACAGAAATTTTAATTAGGAACGTGAAAAATGTACAAGTCGGAAAACTCGCCAGACTATCGCGAGTTTACGGAATGTTTAAGCAGACATATTTCCGCAGGGTATTCCGTTAATAATGTTCGACAGTTTTTAATATTTCGTCGAGATATTACATGTGACAGAATTGCACTAAACACTTTAATAATTTTAAAGATATCGCGGGATCTCATATTTTACGGCAAGCACCTGCCGTAAGATATAATGTTTCTTTACGCGCTCGTCACTTATAATTTGCTTCAAGTGACGCGCTTCTCACTTTTTGCGAATAAACGCCAAAGTGTCGAGATAACGATATCTCTGTCGTTTGATATTTAACGGCACGAAAAAACGAGACGGATTAAACAGTCGGAAATACGTATAAAGCGGGGGAAGCACAGTCATCAACAACGAATCGGCACACAGACACGACGAACAGTGTGAAAATTTCACGTACGCACGTACTCTGGATGGCCGCTTCGAATATACCACCGCGGATAATGAGGATGCATTCGACCAGCACGTATACGCCATTTACCCCAACTGTATCCGCCGCACTGCGAGAGTCATAACGCAGGAGAGATATGCGCCGCAAATGGTAAATGCTAAAAATGTGTGCTCGCTGGCTCGGTCAGCCAGCAAGTCCTGCTTTAACATATGCGGACGAAACTACACACCCGAGCGAAAGAAAGTAATTAAGATTGGCATTAACACGACTTCCTAATGAAGATTTACTGTCAGCGAAATAATGAAAAATTTATGCGTGAAAGAATTCATATCGGATATATTCAAGAAAGACAATTTGACATTGATATGGGAAAATCCCAGGGGAAATAGAAATTGAAAACCCCGACGAATATTATAAAAAAAAAGGTAAATAGTCTTAAAAGGACACCTCACGCACACCAGAATCACGGAAATACGAGACATCCTCTTGTCATTGTAGATCGTCGTGAGAAACATAAGACTCGATGGAAAAAGGAAACGCGAGATGGATAATGATGGACGGGAAATAATACGCAACGTTGCGCGGACGGTCGTGAGTGTAGCGCCGCGGTTAATGAGAGTTCATTATAATGCCGGAGACATCGAAATAATTATCTTTTTCTATCGCAGAGACGTGACTACGCGCCGTTATAGCTTGTTAATATTTGTTGATAAATACACGATAAATTGTGAATACAATGGTAATAAATAATACAATATCGTACGGCTTACGAAAGCTTTTAAATAAATTACTTGATACTATAGTTAACTTATTTGCCGCATTATTCAAATGCGCGCTTACAAGAAGTATTAAAAAATACTTGCTATTTAGGTTACTCCACTTTTTATTATTAGTATACGGCTCACCCCTGTCATTCCTGTGCCCTGAATTAATAAAAGAGCGTTTGCAAAAAGCTATCTTTCATACATCACACGCGTTATTCTTCTACGTAAGACATCCTGACGTACTCCATATATTATATTTTTTTATTGCATGAATAATTTTTCAATAATTTATGACTGATGTAAGTGAATAACTTATTTTGTGTTGAACATTTAAAATAGATATTAACATAAAGTTATTGAAACATTATTTTTAAGCACATTATGAGAGCGGCAGAAAAAAACTCAATATCGTCCAGCAATTTGCATTATCATCGCTGACGCGTGCCTCGAGTTTTCTAAATATCCATTAAAGCCCCGAGTCACTTCGATTTTCCTTTATGCGATATTGGCGTTGACCGTAAAAATCTAACGTGCCTCACAGAGGCGAGTAAAAAGCTGCATTGAACGTTCAATAAAACGCCCCATATTGCATGAGGCAGATAAACACAATCGCTACGTCGCGTCTTCGCGTAAAAAGTGGATCCGTCTTCCAATGGTTACGATCAAGTAGTATCGGTATAAAATAAACGTGCCCACCTAAATATGGTGGCACAAATGAGATCACGTATCTGATAATGAACATCAATTACACGATTCGCTTTTTAGCGGTCCGATCTGTCCTTGTGTCGCAATGTAGTTCCGTGAGAGATTGTCCAGATAAATGCGGCAAGTCTCTCGTAAATCACCGATCGTATCTCATCATCGTTATCGGGAACTTCCGCGAGTCCATTATCAGATTCAGTCAATTGCGGCGATTGCAGTGGCCGACGTGTCGCGAAATTTTTCCTCAAAATTTGCACTCGCTCGCACTTGCAGTTCGCACACAATTCAACGGTGATTAAAAAATCGAAAATTATGTGCGCGAGAAATGCGTATAAAAAATTTCTGATATCTAATAAAACTTTTGTAAACGTTTATTAAAACATTTATCGAATATTTATTGAAAATTTTAAACAATTGCTTACACGCAATTTATAATTATTTTAGTCTAAATTGTAATAATTAGATAATGAGTAATAATCAGTATGTATAAAATGTATAATGTAATGCATAATAAAAAATTATTTATTTATTTTTGCAGATGCAGCGGAAAGGGTACTTAGGCAACGAGTGGTGAGTGAATTTATATATTAAACACACATAATCGGACATTCAAGTCAAAATTGAAACGATAACGAAATATTGAACGATTACGAAATATAGTAAGCACAACAAGGCACAATAATAATTTAAATATTTATTACTGTTTGTTCATTTAAAAGTGTACAAAATTGCGATAATTCGATTTAATTACAATCGAGTTTTAGTATTTTTTTTTTTTTTTTTTTTTTTTTTTACATTTTACTTATTTTTTTTCTTGCTGATACAGAAGCTTGACCGTAGTTTCCATTTTGTTAATGCGCTTGGAATGGTCGGTTATGTTTGTATTATGTCTCATACATTTTGCGCGTAAACAATGCATACGGCTCAGAGGGAGAGAGAGAGAGAGAGAGAGAGAGAGCAATATATCAAATATTTAATCCTCGACTACTCGCTTTTCGTCA